CATAAGTATTTTTGCCTTCCGTGAATCCGTGCTGGTTGGCATTAATACGTCTTGTTCCGTTCCAGTGCTCCACCACTCTCTCTCCTGATAAATCTTCTCCAAAAATCTTTGCATACTATACACGTTCAATGACCAATTCTATAGTTTAGTGCCTCTTTTCTGTCTCCTTTTTTAAAAGATGGGGAACTACATTTTGCCGTCTGTCATACCCTTAGTTGCCCAAGTTTCCAAAAGAGGACGTGTTGAAGATTGTGGTGTGTATGTGTGTTTGTATGTACTCACCTAGTTTGAGGTTGCAGGGGTCGAGTCCAAGCTCCTGGCCCTGTGTGTACTCACCTATTTGTACTTCACCTTAAAAAATTTGTGGTTGCAGGGGTCGGAGGTCCCTACTCCTGGCCCCGCCTCTTCACCTGGTTGCAACAGAGTCCCGCCTCCTCTCTCTACCCGCTCCATGAGCTTTATCAAACCACGTCTGAAAACAGTGTAATGGGTTCCTGCCATCCACTACGTCCATTTTTCTAGGCTTATTCCACTGCCTTACAACTCTAATGACAGAAAAATACTTCCTGACTATCTCTCTGACTTCATTTGTGTCTTCAACTTCCAATTAGTGGCCTCTTAGTTTTCTGTGTCCCCATCCCTGGACCATCCTTCTTTGTCCACCGTTGTCTATATTCCACGACATTTAATTTATATGTCGTTATCATGTCTTCCCTCCCCTGACCCTCCTGTCCTCCAGGTAGGTCTTCAGGCCGATTTCCCTTCCCCTAATCTTTCTTCATAGGATCATTCCCCTTAGATCTGGAACTGAACTTGTCGCAAACCTTTTTGTACTTTCTCTAGTTTTCTTGACGTGCTTTAAACAAGTGGCGGTTTCCAACAGTGCTGCATACCTCCAGTAAGGGCCTGTACCTACACGTGTAAACAGTGTCTTGAATGATTCTTAACTAAGGTATCCGGAAGCTGATCTCGGGTTTGCCAGGCGCTACATTATGCGCAAGGCAGTTATCTGATTGATGTGGTTCTTCCGGAGACAATGCTCGGTGTTATAAGACTTCACCCCAAGATCTTTCTTCTCCTTGAGTGAGGTTTGCAGTCTTTGGCCACCTAGCCTATAATCAGTCTGGGGTCTTCTTTGACCCTTCCCTACTTCAATACTTTGCATTTGGCAGATTAAATTCGAAAGCCATTTGCTGTGTTGTATGTGTGTGTGTATGTGTGTGTGTATGTGTGTGTGTATGTGTGGTGTGTGTGTGTGTGTGTGTGTGTGTGTGTGTGTGTGTGTGTGTGTTGTGTTGTGTGTGTGTGTGTGTGTGTGTGTGTGTGTGGTAAATATACCCTGGTTATAGTACCGCAAAAATGAAATGGCCGATACCTTCCATCCACAAAATATTCCATAAATATTCCATTACCCAAACGCTAATGATCAATTGATAATCTTATTTATATTATCACAATTGACCCTATTATGACATAATGCAATAATAATAATAGCATATAAACATAAAAAGCACACCGTGAAAAATAATATATAGCATAATATGATGCCCAATTGAGGGAAAAAATTTTGGTATCGGTTATTCCCCCTGAAGTTTCGTATCTCTTAACAGATGAAAGAGAAAAAACTATTTACAATGTTAACTGTAATAAACACGTCCGTAGGTTCACGGCAAAAAGTTGTAAAATAAAGACGAATTTTTCGGGGAAAACATTTATTTCCCGTGCAGCTTGGGGTGCCGCGTGCTGCTTCTGGCGGCGGGTAGTATCTCGAAAATAACAAAATGGGGGGTTAAAAAGTCGCGCGAAAAGTGTGAGGGTGTTGGTGCGAATGGGGGTTCTGTGCGCGTTCTTATTAGTTCTCATAGTTTAGACTACTGTTGGACAGTTCTGTGTCAGCTGTATTTTGGACACCGTATATGTTTTCACAACAAACATAGGAAATGAATGCTGTACAAGGTGGATGAACCTTTTCTGACACTATAGAGGATACGCCATAGATCAGTGTTACGATATTATGTGGTCAACAAGACCGACATCTCCAATAATGTCAAAAAAGTTATGACAACTTATTTTTTTCTATTTAGCATGATGATAAGTATACTTTAGAATAGGTACACTTACAGTGATGACTTAGAGGTGTTCAACCATCAGCAAGTGTCAAAAACCACTTTCCAAGTACCCAGAAAGGACTCCCCTGCCAAATCAAATTTTTCGTAAATTATTGCATATTTTCAATTCCATATTGGCCGATATGATTGAAACTTCAGCGACAGGAAATTGATACAATCATCTAATAGTACACCAAAAATATACGTAAACGGTTGAAAAAATAAAGAAATTCGATAGTTTTCACCTGCCCGCTCCCTTAGGCCGTACAGTTTTTTTTATTTATTTTAGGTCCAATTTCAATGAAACCTTTAAAAGAGCAGTTTGCATCCTACACACTGTTGTAATTTACTTCTTTTGCCTCCCTGGCCTAGAGTCAAAAATTGGTAAGGTGTACACTGTTCTAGTCCATCAATGAAAGATAAAGAGTTAGATTATCTAAATTTACAAAGGATTTTTTTTGCGAGAACGCACAGATACCATTATAAAATTTTTTGAAATGTTGTTATTTTAGGAGTTTTTTGGGATAAAAAGAGTCAATAAAAACAAAATGGTAATATATATTGCAAATCACCTGCGAGAATTAATTAGAACCATCATACAATCAATAATTGTAAAAAGATCAAAATACTCTCTAATATTATATCTTTAAAAAACTGAAAAACAAAATGTCAATAACTAATTCCAGAGTTATTCAAAATTTTTGTCTCTACAAAACTCTATGACATGCGTGCCAAACTGAGATGTTGCAAACCTCTTGTCATAGTTTACAGTCCAGAGGCAAATCAGAGCAAGCAACAACCTGTGCACTTTCACTTTTTAGTCCTCACAGAATTTGTCCATGTTGATTATTTAGAATGGAACAGTCCATAATAATTAGTAAATTTTTGGGAGCTAAAGCTCCCGCTTCACACACGGAGATCCCGTGTTCGATTCCCGGCGGTTGGAAACATTTCGACACGTTTTCCTTACACCTGTTGTCCCTGTTCACCTAGCAGCAAATAGTAACTGGTGTTAGTCGACTGTGTGGGTCGCATCCTGGGGACAAGATTAAGGACCCCTATGGAAATAAGTTAGACATTCACTCGATGAGCACTGACTTTCATGGGTTATCTGGGTGGCAAACCCTCTCAAGGTTAAAAATTCTCCGAACGAAAATCTATCTTAACTATAAAAACATAATTACATTTTTTGAAAAAAAAAAACAAAAAAAAAAATAAAAAAAAAAAAAAAAAAAAATTTAATATATAATAGTATATAAAATATATATATATATAGTATATATATATAATATAAAAGAATATCTATATATATAATATATATAATATATTTTTTTTATTTAATATATTTATATTACCTGAGAGTTTACCTGGAGAGAGTATCCGGGGTTCAACGCCCCCCACGGCCCCGTCTGCGACCAGGTCCTACTCGAGGATCAGAGCCGGATCAACCAGCTGTTGCTGCGGCTGCCAGCGCGAAACCAACGTAACGAGCCACACCGGCTGAGCAGGAACTGACTTTAGGTGGCTTGTCCAGTGCTCAGCATGAAGACTCCAGGGGTCTGTTGGTAATCCCCCTAATGTGTGCTGGTAGATTTGAACAGTCTTGGGCCCCAGACAGCTTATTGTAAGGATCCTTTCTTAACGTGCTAAGTGACACCCCTGCTTTTCATGGGGGATGGTGCATCGTCGCTGCCAAGTCTTTTGCTTTCGTAGTGAGTGATTTCGTGTGCAAGTTCGTACAAGTCCCTCTAGATTTCATCCAGGTGTATATAATCATGTATCGCTCCCTCCTGCGTTCCAGGGAGTACAGGGTTAGAAACCCAAGCGCTCCATGTAAATATGAGTGTTTATAACTCCGTTATGCGCGCCGTGGAATGTTCTTCTTATATTTCTAGGTCGGCAATTTCACCTGCCTTGACAGGTCTGTTAGTGTGCAGCAATATTGCCAGCACTAATAGAACAAGTGAGCTGAAAGAGTGTCATCAACTAAAATATTTTAGATTTGTTTACAATAATTTAATACTAAACAAACACAGTGACATGTATTTCTTTCGTTAGGTTCAGAATGATTTTGGCGAAATTATTGCATACACAAATTTTTGTTTGTCCTATATGGCAAGATGAGCGTTGCTATTTAAGCCAAGATCGCAAGTTCTGCCTATTCGGCACGACACACACACACACACACACACACACACACACACACACACACACACACACACACACACACATATATATATATATTATATATATATATATAATAAATATATATATATATATCATATATATATTATATATATATATATATATATATAATAAATTATATATATATAAATATATATATATAATATATATATATATATATATAATATATATATATATATATATATATTATATATATATATATATATATATATATAAATATATATATATATATATATATATATATATATAATATAATATATTATATAATATATATATATATATATATATAATATAATATCAATAACAACACTGCGCTAGCCAAGGATTCGAACCCATGTTGTACTGGCCTGCCTCATGGTAAGCGAGAACCACATGACGTTTTAATAAACCACAGGACCACCCAACCCTACAAGAATAGTGCAGCCAGCAGAGCTAGCTGTTGGGCCGCCATCCGAGGGCATACGGAGGTGTGGGAGCTTCTAAGCTAATTTCAATGACAGTCGTTCATTACGTCTTATCTTGGTTTATGGAAATATTATAGGGCCTTTTATGGGTAAGAGAATAAATGCATCGTGAAATTTTCTTGGGATGCAGGATGAGTCAGTTAGGTCACAATTGATGTCCTGATACAACCAAGTCACATAAGTGCTAGTTAGACACGTGATGAGATGATATAATAGTACTTACCAGAGATTTCCTGGATAGTTCCACCAGTACCACCATACTCGTTGGGCAGCATTGACTTAGGGACAAACTTATGCATTCCTGACAGCTTGTTCCCGTGTACATGGACCTGTAAATTTAAGTTTAATTGGAGTGTTGTTTTATTCGTCAGGAGACCCCCAACACGGGTCTGAAGTCATATAAATGACCCTTTATTGTATTAAATTAACTGGACTTCCCCAGCTCTACTTACATCCCGTGTCATAAGAATGTACACATTATAATTATTTGCTTGTAAGTGCGGTGGCAATGACCTGTTGATGGTACTTTTCCTTGGCGGAAAATAAATGATTAACTTCGAAAATCTCGCCCCCAAGGAAGATAACCTCAATGCAGGTGTGGAACTTGATCCAAGGAACTGATTGCCTCTCCACTCCCAAGGTCGTATATAACCCACGCGGGTATTACCTGGAGTTTACCTGGAGAGAGTTCCGGGGGTCAACGCCCCCGCGGCCCGGTCTGAGACCAGACGCTTTTCTCTCTCAAAAAAATATGAATTTTCGTACTGAAATCTCCCGGACTGGACTAAGCTGAGAAATTACATTACTATTGTATATTTGAGAGCAAATCTTATTTAACTGAGTATAGCAGGCAATTTTGCATGATGTTGGCTCTACGAACCCAGTGGTAGTGTCGTTGTCAGGGTGATGACTCTTGTATGGAAATTACAGCAGACATCAACCTACAATCCAAATTAAACTGTTTACTGTACTCTTTGCACTGAACTGTGTTCGTGTATATGTTGAAGACTGAGACATTTATGCAACTGTATATTAGGTTAGGTTAGGTAAGGTTCGTCAGGAAACAGGACAAATGTTTCCTGACGCGGGTCTTAGTCAGATGATGACCCGCCTTTGGAGCTTTTGGTCATCTGACCGAGGCCTTCCGCTGGCTTACCGGTCCACCCCTTTAAAAATTATGGTCATTTATAACCATTGTTACTATGTAACTGTATATGATTCTCAATTATCCACAAATGCTCTTAACACTGTCAGTATCATTGTGACATGCTTGTGTCTGAAACCAGACAAGTGGTAGAACTGTCAACAGTGGAGTCTGAGTACACTTAATATTTTTTCTAACTGAATATACTTTATGTGGATCCTCTCATACGGGCCTTGAAATACATCATGGAACTGATGAAGTCACAAAGGCATATGCCTTTAAGGAGGAAGTAAATTACAATTCTGGGGTGTCAATTCATTACGATTGTGACCGGATACTAACATGCAGATAGTTTATTACCACTGTAACTTGTTCAGTTATCAAAACTTTGTGGTCCAGTCCCTGGACCCATTATGTATCTCTGGAATGCTTTGATTACCGCCCACGGGATGGGTATGGAGTGCATAACAGAGATGTTAAACTATCGTCATTTTATCATGCAAGAGGAGCCACATCTCTATGACACATCCAAGAAAATCAACTCCTGAATGACACTACTGCCTGGCTTCGGCTGTACTACAGGTAATTCTGTTGTAGACCTTGCTAAATTTATATTTTGTCAGAGGAACGTTTCATGTTAAACAACTTGATGCTAGTGAGGGCTCTTGATCCAAGGAATTGAATTTAGTCCTCAACTTCCTGGAATGAACCTGATTGCCTCCTATTCAGTAGGCGATCTATGATCACTTCGGGAATGGAAGGTACTCAGGTTTGATTCAAGGAATTGGAGCATTGGTCCAATTCCTTGGATCGCATACAACTATAACTTAGAAAATATAAATGTTGTGGTCCAGTCTCTGGATACCTGGAGGGGGGTTTGGAGGTCAATGCCCCCGCAGCCCAGCCCGTGACCAGGCCTTGCGGTGGATCAAGGCCTGATCAACCAGGCTTTCACTGCTGGCCACATGTAAAGCGACATACGCCCCACAGCCCGGTTGTTTAGGTACTGACTTTAGGTGCCCATCCAGTGCCTTCTTGAAGGGGTCTATTGGTAATCCCCCTTATGAATGCTGGGAGGCAGCTGAACAATCTTAGGCCCCTGACACTTATTGTTCGTACTCGCGGGGGGCCTGCTTTTCATTGAGGGATGCTGCATCTCCTGCCAAGTCTTCTGCTTTCGTAGGGAGTGATTTTCGTGTGCAAACTTAGAACCAATGCCTCTATGATTTCTCGCCTGCTTTCCAGGGAGTGCAAATCAAGGGACTTCAATTGTTCCCAGTAATTTAGGTGCTGTATCGTACTTATACGTGTCGTCAAAGTTCTCTATATGTTTTCCAGGTCTGCAATTTCGCCTGCCTTGAAAAGTGCAGTTAGTATACATCAGTATTCCAGCCTAGAGAGAATAAGCGATTTGAAGGGAATCATCATTGGGCTCGGCATCCCTAGTTTTGAAGGTCCTCATTATCCATCCTATCATTTTCCTGGAGCCACTATGTGCCTCCAAGCTTTGACTACCACCCACTGAATGGGGTAATACACACGTAGGCAGACTGTTGCAGCAACAGGTGTACACTAAACCACTTACAAACACTTAATACTCACCCTGTTTTTCATCTTTTCCTTCATGAGTGGCTTGAAGAGGTTGAAAAGTGTGTCAAAAGCCTGAGGAGTGTTGATGTAGTGAACACTCTTGGGTCTCAACGGGTAGCCTTCCTGTCAGTCAGAAGACCAGATCAGAACTTACACCCACTACACATAACACCCACTACACATAACACCAACCACACTACACATCACCCAATTACTCAGTACCTACCATACCTAACCACATTACCCAATTTACTCCACCGAATACTCTTGCCTCCTTGTCAAAAGTCCCACCATTAAATTAAACCAAGACCAACTTTCTAACAAAAACTAATGTTGCACCAACTAGGACATTAATTAACATTACATCTACATACACTAACGCTCACAGTAATTAACCTTTACCCTTGCACATCCCACATATTATCGCTGTACAACCCATATGGTTTTAGCGTTTTATAATAATAATAATAATTATAGGTAGTAGGTTGGTAGACAGCAACCACCCAGGGAGGTACTACTGTCCTGCCAAGCGAGTGTAAAACGGAAGCCTGTAATTGTTTTACACGATGGTAGGATTGCTGATGTCTTTATTCTGTCTCATACACATGCAAGATTTCACGTACATCTTGCTACTTCTACTTACACTTAGGTCACACTACACATGTACAAGCATATATATACACATCCCTCTGGGCTTTCTTCTATTTTCTTTCTAGTTCTTGTTCTTGTTTATTTCCTCTTACCTCCATGGGGAAATGGAACAGAATTCTTCCTCTGTAAGCCATGCGTGTTGTAAGAGGCGACTAAAATGCCGGGAGCAAGGAGCTAGTAACCTCTTCTCCTGTATATACATATTACTAAATGTAAAAGGAGAAACTTTCGTTTTTCCTTTTGGGCCACCCCACCTCGGTGGGATACGGCCGGTGTGTTGAAAGAATAATAATAATATCCATAATTGCCTAATACCCACCACTTATTTCCCAACACCTAACTCGCCTCCTCAGCCCTTCTGCCTCAATTGCCTCTTTAACTCTCATACTTACTGAGTACAATTTGGCAGTGCCTCTGTATGGCGCTGATTAAGCGGATCATTGAGCCTTCACTACAATGTCGACTGAATGACCCACACGAGTTTAGCACCTAACATAAATTTAATCTAGGCCTCTGTAATTCATCTCTGTTATCCACCATATTTATTACCTTCATCCCTTCCATCCAGCCGCTACCCCTGCCCCTCCTCACCTGCCAGGTCAACAAGACCTTCCTGACCAAAGGAAAGGGAAGAGCAGCAACATGCTTGAAGGTGAGGCCCGTCATGTCGTTGGCTTGAACAATACCAGTGACAGTAGTTTGTTCATCCTCCAGGAACAACACGTCGAAGAGCATTCCCGCTGCCCTGAACAGGTCTTCTGGCTTTACCTTACTGGGATCCCAAGCTCCCAGGCGGCCGAAGATCACCGTGCGGCCCTGGGGGTCGCGTCCTGGTAGTGGGAACATCAGCCTGTAGAAGTCACAACTGCATTGTACTATGATTCTGAGGCTCAATGTGCCTTGAATCCACTTTAAACTCTTCCCCTCCGAATTCATTTTAATATGAATTAATGTTTACACACTCTATAGGATAGTGTTCCTCATTCCTAATTCTGTGCGCTTTTTTTTCACCATTAATATGAAATATTAGAAACAGAACTTTAAATTTTTAAAAGGCAGTCAAATGCATGAATATTCAGATCAGTTCTTCTACTTCTGGGTATCTCACACAAACAAGACATTTTGTCAAGCTCTCTGCAGACCCATATTTCTCACCCCATCTTCAATATGGTCCTTAATGCGGGATCTTGGGGGTCGCGCCCCTGAAACATATCAGGCATAGCGCCTTTACACATGTAGTACATCTCCATCTTGGCCTTGGTCTTCTCCAGGGAGAACTTACAGCCTCGCAAGTAGCGCAGGATTGTGGTTCTGTCTGCAGGAGAGGACAGGGAGGTTTGTTAGGTGAGGGCAACGGGAAGAACTAGGGATAGCTTTATTATGGACCCCACATACTTCCTGTGACCAACATTTATAAGATTACAGAGGCACGTAATGGGTCCAGGGAGTGGGCGCAAAGCTTTTGTAGCTAAGCAAGTTACTATTCACAAAGTTTATGAGTTCGTAACAATTGTATTGTGTTGTATTTACGCAGTTAGTTTAATATTTTTATTATGCACCCCATACCCATCCTGTGGGCGGTAGTCAAAATATTACAGAGGCACACAATGGGTCCAGGGACTGGGCCCCAAAGTTTTGATAGCTGAGCAACTTACAAAGGTAATGAACTCCAGGTAGATCTGGTCACAATCATGACAAGTTACAAAGGTATTTACAGATTACAGAGGTACATAATGGGTCCAGGGACTGGGTCCCAAAGTTTTGATAGCTGAACAAGGTACAAAGGCAATAAAGTCACAAGTTACAAGGGTAATGAATCATGTAAGTAGGTAAATTTACTTACGTTTATACTTTTTTATTTTATTATCACACTGGCCGATTCCCACCAAGGCAGGGTGGCCCGAAAGAGAAAAACTTTCACCATCATTCACTCCATCACTGTCTTGCCAGAAAGGTGCTTTACACTACAGTTTTTAAACTGCAACATTAACACCCCTCCTTCAGAGTGCAGGCACTGTACTTCCCATCTCCAGGACTCAAGTCCGGCCTGCCGGTTTCCCTGAATCCCTTAATAAATGTTACTTTGCTCACACTCCAACAGCACATCAAGTATTAAAACCATTTGTCTCCATTCACTATCAAACATGCTCACGCATGCCCGCTGGAAGTCCAAGCTCCTCGCACACAAAACCTCCTTTACCCCCTCCCTCCAACCTTTCCTAGGCCGACCCCAACCCCACCTTCCTTCCACTACAGACTGATACACTCTTGAAGTCATTCTGTTTCACTCCATTCTCTCTACATGTCCGAACCACCTCAACAACCCTTCCTCAGCCCTCTGAACAACAGTTTTGGTAATCCCGCACCTCCTCCTAACTTCCAAACTACGAATTCTCTGCATTATATTCACACCACACATTGCCCTCAGACATGACATTTCCACTGCCTACAGCCTTCTCCTCGCTGCAACATTCATCACCCATGCTTCACACCCATATAAGAGCGTTGGTAAAACTATACTCTCATACATTCCCCTCTTTGCCTCCAAGGACAAAGTCCTTTGTCTCCACAGACTCCTAAGTGCACCGCTCACCCTTTTCCCCTCATCAATTCTATGATTCACCTCATCTTTCATAGACCCATCCACTGACACGTCCACTCCCAAATATCTGAATACATTCACCTCCCCCATACTCTCTCCCTCCAATCTGATATCCAATCTTTCATCACCTAATCTTTTTATCACTATAACCTTACTCTTTCCTGTATTCACTTTTAATTTTCTTCTATTGCACACCCTACCAAATTCATCCACCAACCTCTGCAACTTCTCTTCAAATCTCCCAAAAACACAGTGTCATCAGCAAAGAGCAATTTAAAAAAAAAAAATTTAGTTCAAAAATTTTAAAATTTAAATTTGGGGGTTTAGAAAAACCCAAATATTTTTCCCGAAGCTTTTTCCATTTTCCAAAAAACCCCCACAATTTTTTAAAAAAAGGGTGGACCCACCATAATATATAATATATATTTTAATATAATATATATATAATATATTATATATAATATAATTATATATATATATAAAAATAATGTGTTTAACCAAACTTATAAAAAACATAAGAAATTTTCGGCTAAACAAGAAGCAAAAATAGACGATGTAAGTTAAGTGAACGATACAAAATGGGGAACCTGTCTTACCTACCTGAGTATAGAGGCTATCCCTGAGGCTGCATCAGGAGCCGTCATGGTCATGCAATACCAACTACGTTGTTTAAGGTTGTCTTGTTCGTATATAGTGTTATCAGAGATCCCAGTGATCTCTGCAAGTACGGTAAAATGATTGTACCTATGGGATGCAGGTCTGCTTTATTACTCTCAGAAGGTACAGTGGTCAGAGGTAAGCGGGTGGGTTGTGAGAAAGGGATTGTGGGAGGGACATGTGGGAACCAGGATGTGCAAAAACGATGGTTTGATAACGTTGACGGTTAAGAACAGGTGACAGTAGGAGTGACTATTGTGGCGATGTTTGTGGTGGGAAAGAGTACAGTGTTGATGTCACAGTTGGAGTTGATGAGAGCGTCAACAATGGTGCAACCAGTGGATGGTGCCTGAATAACGGGGTGATGCAGCTTATCTGTACGCCGATAATGGCCCCAAGTTTCTGTGAGTCAGTCTTCTGGCTAGACCTTTAGCCTTATAACACGAGTCACACTACAATACCAGGGCTGGACACTATACTCAGCCTCTCACATCAGTCACAAACCGCATCTCATCGGCGACATGCACAAGGCTTAGTTACTAAACATACATATCTGGATAAGGAAGGTGTCAGAACAGTATAATACATGCTAAGGACCGATATGTAGTATGTGGTCCGTGAAGAACCGATCTTCTGGCCAGGCGAAGAGTATACCGAAATTTTTCACCTGCTACACTAGATCTCCCAGCAGTTACCTGGGTGTTAGTTGTGGCATTCTGAAACGTGGGAATATTTAATAAATTTGCTTCTAAATGGCAGACTGTCGACATTAATGAAAAGACACGCTTGCAAAAACATTAAGGTGCCAAGGCTATAAAAATTACATAATGTATTTTGCGATGTATTGGTCTCTCGATTCTTATAAGGACACGAAAACAGAAAGAAAAGTAGACCATAATCGCATTAGTTATTTCCTGTAAGAACTGTAACCATAAGAATTTTATTTATTTTACCACACTCAGCATAGTCACTTGTTTGCACAGAACTGCTTAATGCCTCAAATGACGTAGTGGAAGTTTTAGCAGTAAAGGTCGAGAACCAAAACCTAGTCATTGTGGTAGTCTACAAGCCTCCGGATGCAACATCCCAGCAATTCCAGGAACAGCTGTTAAAAATTGACCACTGTCTGGAAAATCTTCCAGCTCCTGCACCCAACATCTTGCTCCTGGGGGATTTCAACTTAAGGCACCTAAAATGGAGGAATATAGCAAATAATATTGTTGCAGTAATAACACCAGGAGGCAGCTCTGATGAAAACTCACACTCACACGAGCTTTTAAATCTCTGCACAAAATTCAATTTAAACCAGCAAATAATAGAGCCTACTAGACTGGAGAATACACTAGACCTCATATTCACTAACAATGATGATCTGATAAGAAATGTCACCATATCAAAAACAATATACTCAGATCACAACATAATTGAGGTTCAGACATGTATGCGAGGAGCCCAGACCGACAAAATGAGACTAGTCACGAGGGAGCATTCACCAAATTCAACTTCAATAACAAAAACATAAAGTGGGACCAAGTAAACCAAGTCCTAACCGATATAAGCTGGGAAGATATACTAAGCAACACAGACCCAAACTTATGCCTACAACAGATTAACTCGGTGGCACTCGATGTATGCACAAGGCTTATTCCTCTAAGAAAAAGGAGGGGTAGATGTAAAATAGAAAGAGACAGGCGCTCCCTTTACAGGCGACGGAAAAGAATAACAGAGCGGCTAAAAGAGGTCAATATATCTGAAATGCGCAGGGAGACACTGGTCAGAGAAATTGCAAGCATCGAACTTAAGCTAAAAGAATCCTTTAGGAGTCAGGAATCGCGGGAAGAACTAAAAGCTATAAATGAAATCGAAAGAAACCCAAAGTATTTCTTCTCCTATGCCAAATCAAAATCGAGAACAACGCCCAGTATTGGGCCCCTACTTAAACAAGATGGGTCCTACACAGATGACAGCAAGGAAATGAGTGAGCTACTCAAGTCCCAATATGACTCAGTTTTTAGCAAGCCGCTAACCAGACTGAGAGTCGAAGATCAAAATGAATTTTTTATGAGAGCCACAAAATTTGATTAACACAAGCCTATCCGATGTTATCCTGACGCCAAATGACTTCGAACAGGCGATAAATGACATGCCCATGCACTCTGCCCCAGGGCCAGACTCATGGAACTCTGTGTTCATCAAGAACTGCAAGAAGCCCCTATCACGAGCCTTTTCCATCCTATGGAGAGGGAGCATGGACACGGGGGTCGTCCCTCAGTTACTAAAAACAACAGACATAGCCCCACTCCACAAAGGGGGCAGTAAAGCAACAGCAAAGAACTACAGACCATTAGCACTAACATCCCATATCATAAAAATCTTTGAAAGGGTCCTAAGAAGCAAGATCACCACCCATCTAGAAACCCATCAGTTACACAACCCAGGGCAACATGGGTTTAGAAACAGGTCGCTCCTGTCTGTCTCAACTACTGGATCACTACGACAAGGTCCTAAATACACTAGAAGACAAAAAGAATGCAGATGTAATATATACAGACTTTGCAAAAGCCTTCGACAAGTGTGACCATGGCGTAATAGCGCACAAAATGCGCGCTAAAGGAATAAACAGGAAAAGTCGGTCGATGGATCTATAATTTCCTCACTAACAGAACACAGAGAGTAGTCGTCAACAGAGTAAAGTCCGAGGCAGCTACGGTGAAAAGCTCTGTTCCTCAAGGCACAGTACTAGCTCCCATCTTGTTCCTCATCCCCATATCCGACATAGACAAGGATGTCAGCCACAGCACCGTGTCTTCCTTTGCAGATGACACCCGAATCTGCATGACAGTGTCTTCCATTGCAGACACTGCAAGGCTCCAGGCGGACATCAACCAAATCTTTCAGTGGGCTGCAGAAAACAATATGAAGTTCAACGATGAGAAATTTCAATTACTCAGATATGGTAAACATGAGGAAATTAAATCTTCATCAGAGTACAAAACAAATTCTGGCCACAAAATAGAGCGAAACACCAACGTCAAAGACCTGGGAGTGATTATGTCGGAGGATCTCACCTTCAAGGACCATA